CACAAAAGGTCGCACCCCGCGGTGGAGTCGACAATCTGATCTATGCGTGGCAGGTGGTAAGGGTCCTTAGGACATGCCTTGTTAAGGTCGGTGTAGTCGATGCACATCCGAAGCTTGCCGTTCGCCTTGGGAACGACGACCGGGTTCGCCAGCCACTACGGATGGATGACCTCTCGGATGAATCCGGTCTCCAGAAGTCGCGCCACCTCCTCGCGGATGAAGGCTTGACGTTCCTGGGCCTGCCGCCGCACTTTCTGCCGGACCGGCCTTGCGCCCGGCCGTACGGCGAGACGGTGCTCAATCACCTCCCTGGGGACCCCGGGCATGTCCGCCGGTCTCCAGGCGAAGACGTCGGCGTTTGCCCGCAGGAAGGAGACGAGCGCGTCTTCCTATTTGTCGTCCAGAAGACCACCGATTCGTGTGGTCTTGGACGGGCCGTCGCCCAGGGCAACCTGCTTGATCGGGACCTCGTCGCACGTGATCATCCGCTGCCTCGGGGCGGCTGGGACGGAGGTGCTGAGCCTCTCGTCGCCACCCGCGGGCTTGGATGCCGCGGCGAGGTGGTCCGCGCGCTGCTCCATGCAAGCAAGCGCGACTTTGAGGTCGCCATGGACGGTGATGGGGCCACCGGGGCCCGGCATCTTCATCTGGAGATAGGCGTAGTGGACCGCCACCATGAACTTCACCAACGCGGGCCTCCCCAGGACCGCGTTGTAGGGCAGACTGAGGTCCGCCACATCGAAGTTCACCCGCTCCGTGCGGAAGTTGGCGGAACCACCGAAGGTGACCGGGAGGTCGATATGGCCTAGCGGCCAAGTGTGCCCCGGCGTCACACCGATGATCGGCTGGGACGGCCGGAGCACCATCCCCGGGGCCTTGATGGCGTCAAAGGCAGCGGGGGAAAGGATGTTGAGGGCTGCACCCCCGTCAACGAGGACACGCCCCAACTTCACATTGCAAACGGTGGGGGAAACCACCATCGCGATCTGTCCTCCCCGGGCAACGCACGGTGGGTGGTCGGTTTGGTCGAAGGTGAGGGCAACCTCCGACCACCGCGCCCGCCGCGTCGCCTCATGGGTAGGGGCCACGGCCAGAAGCTCTCGCTTCATGGCCTTGAGGCTCCGGCGAGAAGCGTGAGCACGCGCTCCCCCATCAACGGTGGCGACAGTGGCCTCAGGCTCCTGGAACCCTAGGTCATCGTCGCCATCGTTGATGTCCTCGGCGGGGGCCTTCTGCTTGGCCTCACCTCGCCGGTTGCCGGCGGGAGCCGCCGGGGTATTGCCCTCACGGCGCTCCTGCCTCCTCTCCTCCTCCCACTTCCTCGTCCGCTCAGCCAAACTTTTGACCGCGCGGCAGTCCGCGAGGTCGTGGAGGGAGGTGTTGTGCACGGTGCACCACTTGCCGGTCGGGCGCTCCCTGCTAGGAGCGCCGGCCTCCTTCTTTTTGTCGCTCGCAGGCCTCCCCTTTCGGGTGGCCCGCAAAGCGCCCTCGACGGCGAGGACGTGACCCTCGTCGTCGGAATGGGCCGACCTCTTCTTCCTCCTCCTGTCCCGTCGCCCTGACCGAGCGGCGGATCCGGGGGCGGCCGAAGCTGCCACACCGGAACCGGAGGAGTTCCAGGTCCAGGCCTCCTCCTTGCGAGCCACACGGTCCGCGAGCTGAAAAAGCTCCGCGGTGGTCTGGGGCTCCTTGGAGGCGATCTTCTCGAGCATGCGGTTGTGGCGCACGCCCCCCCTGAACGCGTAGATCACCGCGTGTGCAGGGATGCACGGTATGGTGTTGCGGACTTGACAAAACCGCTGAATGTACGAGCGAAGAGACTCATCGTCCCCTCGCTGTACCGCGTGCAAGTCCGCTTCTTCACTTGGGCGCGGATATGTGCCTTGGAAGTTCATGGTGAACTGCTGGCACAAATCCTCCCAAGAGTGGACCGACGCGGGTGGCAAGTTCATTAGCCAACCCCGCGCCTGTCCTTTCAGGGCCATGGGGAAGAAATTCGCCATGACCCTGTCGTCACCCCCGGCGGCCTCGATCCCAGTCGTGTAGATCTGGAGAAACTCGGCGGGGTTGACGCTTCCGTCGTATTTTTCGGTGATGGTGGGCCGGAACCTTGGGGGCCAACGGACGTTCCGAAGGCTCGCCACAAAGGCTCGACAGCCGGCACCGCCAACCGGGGACATGGGGGGCTGGCCCCCGTGCCCGGACCGAAGTGGCGCTCCGGACGAGGAAGCGCCCTCCGATGCGTGGGCAGCACGGCGATCATTGCGCCGGCGCTCGATATTGAAGCAGGCATCTGGCCCCCTACGCACATCTTCTTGGGTTGGAGGCGTTGACGAGGGAATGGCGGACGAACGGCGGGTAGCGGCCGCCGCTCGCCGCGCCCTCCGCCTCGACGACACGGAGCCAGCAGTAGCAACGCCAGTGGCCTTGGTGGCGGAGGACCGCCAGCCGGCGCCTAGGCGCTGCTGCGCCGTCATGACCAAATTGGCCACGTCATCTAGCCAACGTCGGGTTGGAGTCTCTGGATCAGGGATGACGGGTGGGTGACGCAGGAGTGCGCCCGCAGCCTGGAGCGCGCCCTGGGGCGTGCTGCCATCTCCGTAGACGAGGAGACGACGCTCCCCGTCTCGCCGTCCTTCTCCATCGCCCGCGTGCGGCGAAGTCGCGGATCTTTCGACCTCCTCGAGCGCCTCCTCCCGCCCAAGACTTCGGCGAGAGAGGGACAGTGGAGTACGAGCTCGACGGCGCGGGTTCTGCTCCCCGTCTTCACCGCTAGCGCTCGGAGAGAGATTGTGCGCCACTGCCCGTTCGGCCATTGGGCTGAGCGGGAGAAGCTTGGCGCACACGAAAGAGGACGAGGGCTTAGAAAAACACACGCACCCCCTACCTGGCGCGCCAGATGACGGAGCGTGGGGCTCCTCACTGGGAGACCGCGCAGGCCCCCCTTTGCCGGTTCGGCCGGGGGCGCTAAGTGAGGTTCTTCGCCCTCGATCGATCTGGAGAATGTTCGCGAGAGAGCAAGTGCACGAGACACGGGCGATGTAGACAGGTTCGGGCCGCTGAGAAGCGTAATACCCTACTCCTGTGTTCTGGTGGATCTGTGTGTGAAGGATTTACAGAGAGCCGGAGAGCCAGAGAGTTCAGGCTCCAGAACCCCTCTCGCCTCCTTTTTTTTCTTTTTTTCCCTTTCTTTGGTGGGCAAGGTCCTCCTTTTATATCTCAAGGGATACTACATGCACCACTTCTACCTACCTTTCTTCTGGGTGGGGACCTACCCTCTCTTGACCAAAACTTGGCTTGCACCTTCGCCTGGAAGCTAAATCACAACTTGTCCTTGAGTGAGGCTCAGCGCCGTCTCTCGCCTGACACCGGGGATCTCCCTGTTACTCCCTCATTAATGGGCGGAGATTTGCCATGGCTGCTTTCCAAATGACCATCCGACGAGATGGGTCATACCTACCTCCACTCCACCGGAGGCAGATGCATCGTGGGAGCACGGTTGTCTGCCGATGACGCGACCGGCGTCAGACCAGTCACAGACCGGTCATTCTTGTCCACCACGTGTCAGTTCGGCATGCTACATGTCTGCCCTTCTTCATACAATGACTTCCTTGCAATGGTTGCGATGAAGCCTGGAATGTATCTGGCCGGGGCTGACATGCCAACTCTAGGAGTTCCCACGCCGGCTCCGGCTAGGGACGAGTGCCTGGAGGCTCTCATCATTCCGACGGGACGGGGCGAGGCGTGTGTCAGGCCGCCTGTTGCCACCTAACCCGCGATCTGACCGGTCTGTGACCGGTCACACACTGTGACCTGTCACGGACCGAACGAGTGTGCTGCGCTGCATTAAATGCGGCGTGGGGCGCTCGTCCAACCCGCAATAAACGCGGTTAGGTGAGCGCCGCTGTGCTCACCTAACCCACACACGTGGCGCCAAACCCACAGGGGGTCGGGGCGCCCCAGCCCTCGGGGCCGAAACGGGAGCGGCCCGACCCCTCGGGAAGACAGAGGGAGGGGCGGCCACATCACCCTCGGGCCTGACCCCCCCGAGGGGGTCAGGCCACGTGGGTGACTGCAGCTGCCCCAAACCTCTAGTCAAGATACCCCCGGTCCCATGTCACCGACAGATGCGAAAGGGCCTTTAGCCTAATGGTTACAAGAACCACAGTGGTACCTGAGGTCCTGGGTTCGACTCCCCATAGGAGCGAATTTTCCAGGATTTAATGGCGTTTGTGCTTTCAGTGGTAGGCGACGTACCCGTCGACAGCGAGGCGCCTGTGGTGACTTCGTCAATCTCTCCAGAATTTGCCGACCCAGTCTTCAAAGATGCTCATAGGGGTAGGGTGGCCAGCGAGGCGCCTGTGGGGGTAGGGTTTGCATGCTTGAGTTCATAGGGTACGTCGCCAGAATTTGCCGACCCAGTCTTCAAAGATGCTCATAGGGGTAGGGTGGCCAGCGAGGCGCCTGTGGGGGTAGGGTTTGCATGCTTGAGTTCATAGGGTACGTCGCCAGCGAGGCGCCTGTGGTGACTTCGTCAATCTCTCCAGAATTTGCCGACCCAGTCTTCGAAGATGCTCATAAGGGTAGGGTTTATGTGCGTGTGTTCATAGGGGTGAGTGCGCGTGCGTTGTGAGTGTTTGCGTTGTACTGTGTAATTTAAAAAAAATAGGTCTTAGATTTTTGGATGAAAGGAGTATAAAAGTAGAGAATAAATATATTGAAGTATAAAATGGAAAAAAACTATATTGAGATTTGATAAAATGGAAATATTCTATTATCTTTTTATGCTGCATTAATATGTGTCATGTGTGATATTGAATAACGAACTTACTTTAATACGGAGGAGTATTTTCCTTGAACCGGGATGATGAAATCATTGAAAACGCGGAGGCAAGAGGACGTGCAACACGTGGGATAGCGCCGACGTCGGCGATCTGTTCTACCTTCTGGAAAACAAGTCTGCAAAAATTAATTTCTGCCTGAGGCAGTGAGGCTCGCTTGTCAGTCACCCGTATACGTGGAAAATAAATTTTCTCTCGCTTTCTCACGCGGGTCGCGAGGAACTCTCTCTCTCTCTCTGTGCACACCCCGGGAGGAGGAACCGAGGGAGGAGGACAAGTCAGAGCAAGGGGCCTCGACGGCGGCGAAGCCCTCCAACTCACAGGTGAGAGACCCCCCCCCCCTCGCCTCCTCCTCTTCTCTCCGGCGACAGCGACGGCGACGAGCGAGTCCGTGTAGATCTCCGACCCCGTAGATGGGTTTTGGGAGGGGGGCGGTTTAATCGGCGGCGCGGATGGCGTCCGTAGGACTCCGTACCCCGCCGGGGAATCCTTAGGTTGCTCCTCTATTGCTCTTGGAGTACACGCCGCAGCCGCTACCCGTAGGCCTTAGCCCGATGGACATCCATGGTTGGGTGGATCTGAATGGAGACGGATTGGAGAGAGCAAGTAGGATGGAAGTAATGGTTATGATGTCTAGCTGATGAATGTACTTTATACTTAACTAATAGTACTAATACGCAAAGCTTTGTTACAGGAAGCCCAAGATTTTCCCCGTGAATTCCTGTTTTTCTCCATTGCTCCATCCAAATTTTGCCTATTCCTATGTCTTTCAAATGTTTGCGATAGGAGGCCTCAAAGGGTCTAGTTAGTGTATAACACTGTACTCTGTACCGCGAAGTAGTGCCTCAGGCTGTGAAATGTCTGCTGTTCCTTTGTCAATTGTTTGGATCCCTTTGAACAATGGAAAGCATACAATTTCATGGAAGGTTATTAATTACATTTCCCTGTTAGGTTAGTTCTGTTATGCCATTTCAGTACTAATGAACAAACAGTTTGTCCACCTACGTGTCATCACTTGGCTTGATAGTGCTGCAACCAACCTATGTTTATGTAGAAAGCTGAGGCATATTTGGATTCCCTTTCGTAGGTAAAATCTGCTAAATATTGTTTGAGTTTTCTGGCATCTGCTTCAGATATCCATTCGCTAATGACTAACCAATTTAATCACAGAAACACCAATATCTAAAGCAGCTTAAATTTTGAAACCAAAATGCAAGTTGTATTAAAACAATTCCATGAAAATCTTGATTATGGTAATACATACTTTCTAATTTCATTTTGTTGGTGCTTTTGTTTTCTTATGTGACCTGTTTTTGACCAATTGTTATCTCAAAATATATGTTCCTTCCTCCTGGTGAATAAACTTGAATATATCTATCTACAGGCGCCATGTCGATGTCACTGTTCCCTGGGATGGATCTTACGAAAATGGATGCTCCTACTCTTACCCTCCTTGGAGCAGCCTGCTGTGTAATGCTATCGATGCATTTTACAGTACAGTTGGTGTCGCAGCATCTTTTCTATTGGAAGAATCCCAAGGAGCAGAAGGCTATACTTATTATCGTTCTCATGGCTCCCTTATATGCTATAAATTCCTTTGTTGGTCTTCTGGATATCAAGGGAAGCAAAACATTTTTCACTTTCTTGGATGCTGTCAAAGAATGCTACGAGGCACTGGTGAGTCCTTTTGGGTTAACCACATTCTTGCACCCAATGCCGAGATTCACTAACCTTCTCTCTTTGTTTCACTATGTAGGCTATTGCTAAGTTTATGGCACTGATGTACAGCTATTTGAATATATCTATTAGTAAGAACATAGTTCCTGATGAGATCAAAGGGAGGGTGCTTCATCATTCCTTCCCTGTTTCCCTTTTCCTGGTAATTTCCTTAATCCTTATACCCTGGTTCATTCTTTAAATGTTTCTATAATCTGTAATTGTGCTTGAGTGCTAAGATTTCTGTTTGATTACTTCTTTACATAGCACTATATATTGATTAAGTTTTGATGACTTAGCATAATACCTTCCCTGCTTCTCTTTTACTGGCATTTTATCCCATACCATGGATCACCTTTTTGTACTTGAATTTTAAATTTCTATTTCATTGCTTCCTTATATAGCATTGTCTGGAATCTGGATTAATTAAACCAAGTTACCATGAGTGGTAATTTTTTACTATAATATCAACAGCAGTTTTAATCTTTCTCTTACCAAATTCTCCTGTATGCATGCACCTAAAGCGATGACTTAAAAATCTGTCTGTGCATCACCCTTCTACATTTTTATTATTCACCTACAATCTGCAGAGGTAGTCTGGAGCTTTCAGCACTTCAGTTTATAGTTTGAGTCGATGTTGTCCTAAGAACCTGTCTTTGCATCTCCCATTCTCCCTTTTAGTGTTCTATCTTGCACATATAATCTGCACAATCTGGAAGTTTATTCTTTCAGAACTTAAGTTTGTAGTTAGACTTTAGGGTGTTCTATTACTTGCTTCACTTCTATCTGTTCAAAAAGGAATTAATATATTTGTGATGTTTTGCTATGGCAGCCCCGCAATGTTCGATTGGAGCATAAAACACTGAAGCTTCTGAAGTACTGGACCTGGCAATTTGTTGTTGTTAGGCCCATATGCGCCATTCTAATGATTACTCTTCAGCTTCTTGGTCTGTACCCCAGTTGGGTCAGCTGGACATTCACAATCATACTGAACTTTTCAGTCTCCATGGCATTATACGCACTGGTTATTTTCTACCACTTGTTTGCAAAAGAGCTGGCACCTCACAAACCTCTTGCAAAATTCTTATGCATCAAAGGGATTGTCTTCTTCTCTTTCTGGCAGGTAATCATCTACTTTTCCCTAAGGAAAATGAAAGCCGTTTCACAATTTTTCTTACTTTATGGACCAAATAGGTTACTTCTTCTTTCTTGTGTCTGAATGCTTTAGTGTAACTTTGGACACTGTTTACCATGATGCATGCCTCTGAATGTTTGATTGAACAATGTCGATGTAGACTTTCTAAATAGTTTAGATCTTCTGTTCCTTCTGGGTACTGTGGTGTGACTTCTCATGACAGTCATGAAGCTTCATCATATTTATTCTCTGGATTTAATTAGGTGCTCAAGATACACCACCATTTCTTTTTGTACATATAGTTGTTTATGAATTGAAAAAGTTCTTCTGCAACTTAAGTTTTTATGAACTGCCATTTGAAAGTCAGATTTGGCAATTTCCTTTATGAAGTCTCATAACTGAACAACTATATGCCTTGTTACCAATTAGTTTAGAAAGAAAGCCAGAGTAAGTTGTTAAACAAGTTTAATTAGATAATAAATCAATACTGAGCTTTTCACCTTTAAGGCACAATAAGCTGCTATATCATACTGCTTAAAGAGACATCCCCAGTGGACACCTTCTAAAGAGTGCATGTCTTCCTCTTTTGCCATGGGAAACATAAAAGCTGGAATAGTTTTTAATAGTTCTCCCATTCTGTTCATTTCTTATGATTAGTGATTGAGCTACTGAATGCCATTGTCTTTTTGCAGGGTTTTGCATTAGAGGTTTTAGCTGCCGTAGGGATCATTCAGTCCCACCATTTCTGGTTGGACGTGGAGCACATCCAGGAGGCAATCCAGAATGTCTTGGTGATCATCGAAATGGTCTTCTTCTCCGTTCTCCAACAATATGCTTACCATGTTGCTCCATACAGCGGGGCTGACAGGGCGAAATTCGAGAAGAAGAATGAATGATCCAGGTTTTGTACTGAGTAATACCCTCCAGCTCTTGTATGATATCTCTCTGTATGGACTCACAGTGTTATAAACTCAGTGTTTCTTATGCACACGAGTAGAGTAAGTACATTACAATCATTAGAAAGCTAGAGGTGCCTGAATAAGTGGTGGTTTCGTCTTGTTGTACACAATATCATGTTGGACTGAGGATCTTGTGTGTACACTGTACAGTGCAGCCTTTGGAGGCAAGCAAATCCATTATCAATAAAGCTATGTACTTCCAAGTGCCAATCACCAACTGTAGAGCCCTCCCTCCCCCAATGCATTGAGTTGGTGAATGCAAAGTTATTCAGGGACATCATTAATCCGGTTAACTGGATACACCGTATTTAACTAGCCCGGTCTGGACTCTGGACCACGGTCGTGGGTAACTTTTATTGTTCTTTCAATTTTTCCATGTGAAAATTTGTTCCAGATAGTCATTGCCTCTGGTCACAAGTTGTGACTCTGCAACAATGTCGATCGAGAACATGTGTTACCCTCTCTTTCTGCTTCTGCCTCTTTCACCAGCTGGGCACGGTGAAACAAGGGCGTTGCATCCAGCATCGCCGTGGCAGGATTCTTGACGCGAGAGCAGTTTGTCTGCAGCGATTTGCTCCGTCGTATCAGCGGCGACGAGAAGAAAAGGAGAAAAAGAGTGGGGGAGGAAAGAGATGAGTACTCCAGACGTCCAGTCTGTCTGCAGTGCTGTGTGCAGTGTAGGGTAGGTTGCCTGAAATCAGTGGCGAAGTGGGGCACGGGCACTAGTAGCAGCAGCTGTGCACTCCTAGGCCGGGCCTGTAGCTGCTGTGTTGTGTGCGTAAGCGGTGGGGGCCATATGTGCAACTCCTGTAGATTCCTAGTACGGCCTGGCTTGCCTTCCCGTGACCTATTTTTGCATCGCTTTAAGCTCGGCCGACTTTTAACCAGGGTCAGAACTCAGAACTCAGAAGTGTCTCCTCTTGCCTTGTCCTCCTCCTAGCTAGCGGCTGATAATAGTGTCACACACATCTTGGTGTCAACTTATAAATAATGATATGCCTTCTGTTTATAAAACATTACTAGCACTGAAGACCGAACGGATGAGTAAATTTTATTTTAGGCTATGTATTTTTATAAATTGTTACAAGGGGTTTCTGTTAGCACGTCCGGTTTATCTCTATCCACATCAATAATGCCGACTTTAGTTTCAATCCTTTTCTTTAAACTTCTAACTTTTTCATCACATCAAAATTGGAGGTTTGGTTGAAATTGAAACGATATGACAAAAAAGTTAGAGTTTGTGTGTGTAGGAAAGTTTTGATGTGATTAAAAAGTTGAAAGTTTGTGTGTAGGGCCGAGTTTAGATCCACAGAAACTTCCAACTTTTCCCATCACATCGTTCTAATTTCAACCAAACTTCTAATTTTAGCGGGCTAGTATGTTTCATTATCGGCGGGAACATGGATAGCCGAGAAAGCTTATCAGCCAGCAACGGTGGTGGCGCTTTGTTTAAGGCTACGGTAAGAAATGCATTCTGATGTAACGATTCCATTTTTCTTTACAAAGTATAAAAATGACACCTTCAGTTTTGAAGCGAATGTTCACATATCGTACGTCATAAACTATAGGTCCTTGAGGTGGTTGTGATTATCATCAAATACATGTCAATGGAAAAAAAAACAACCATGTTCTAGTCAGTGCCAAAAGAAATTGATCTTTCGGTCGTAGAGCTAAATTCGATGAGGATTAGAAAATGCAATAATTAAACATGAGCGCATAGTTGCCAAATGTTTTTGAGGAAAAAAAGGGTATTTTTCCTTGCTGTTGATCGAGAATCTTGCCTAATGTCATGGCAAGTCCATCTTTTGCGGTTGCGCGCTGTTTAGATCCCACCCCAAAATTTTACACCCTATCACATTGAACGTTTAAACACCGGCATAAAGTATTAAATAAAGGATAAAAAAATAACTAATAAATATTACACACATTGCGACTAATTTGCGAGACGGATCTTTTAAGCCTAATTGCTTCATGATTTGACAATATGGTGCTACAGTAAACATTTGCTAATGATGGATTAATTAGGCTTAATAAATTCGTCTCGCGGTTTATTGATGGATTTTGTAATTAGTTTTTTATTAGTGTCTAAACAACCCATGCGACACCCTATAGAATATCCGATGTGACACACCAAAATTTTACACCCCTAGGCCGAGTTTAGTTCCAAATTTTTTCTTCAAACTTCCAACTTTTCTATCACATCAAAACTTTTCTACACACACAAACTTCCAACTTTTCCGTCACTTCGTTCCAATTTCAACCAAACTTTCAATTTTGGCATGAACTAACACACCTCTAGCTTTAAAAACCCCAGAGTTCTTTGCCAGCAGTACAGTGTATGCGCGAAAAGGAAAACTGCGAGCTGCCATACCACATCACCCTGGGCCTAGTCATGCATCCTGACTGGAGACCTTGTCACTTTGTCAGCACTCAGCACGCACCCAGCCGGCCGACCACCTTCATCAAGCTAGGACCCAACCCAAAAGAGTTGCAGGCTGCGAGGCTCATCACTGAGCCTGACTGCCTGAGAAGGCTGAGAGAGAGAGGCCCGTGTTTGATGAGGGTGTGTTTAGTTCACGTCAAAATTAAAAGTTTGGTTGAAATTGAAACGATGTGACGAAAAAGTTGAAAGTTTGTGTATGTAGAAAAGTTTTAATGTGATGTAAAAGTTGGAAGTTTGAGGAAAAAGTTTGGAATCAAAATGCTGACTTGCCGTATCGTCGACCAATTTAGTAGGAGTAGTAGCCAAGTAAGTTAGCTATAGATATATATTATTATGCATTAATACCTAGTCCTAGCAATTCCTTCACAAACTTTGATAGAGCATGTAGCATTATAGCTTGCTATATATTTATGGTCCGCTTCTCTTCTCTCTTTTTTTTTCGCTAAGTCATCTACAAATATAAGTGGTAACACCTATAGACTATTATATTATTTTATCATACAAGCTTTGATGAGTGTTGAAAACATTTTTTTTCTCTCTCATTAGGCAGCACAGCTATAGTGTAGTACTGCACTGCTATTTCCATCCCAAAATATAATCTCTTAGGTCTTTATTCCCCCCGAGGGAGGGATTGGAGGGGATGGATGTGAAATTAACTCCCTCTAAATCCCGCACAATCTTTTTATAGGTGAGATTAACCGAATAAGGCCTTATGGAGTTTTCTTATAGAGATTAAATAGAGAGATGAAGTTGAATGAGTAATGATTGTGATTGGTTGAGATGAGTTTGTAGGTGGATAAATTAAATAAGAGATAGTTGAGATAATTAAGGTAGTAGATTGAGAGAAGTTAATTTGATTGCTAAAAGTAGCTATATTTTAAAACTAAGAAAGCAGAGTATTCTTTGCATTCCGCAATATAAGGGATTATGCTATCTTTTGTAAAAATAAAAAACAAAGTAGCAAAATGACAAGTCATGGTATAAAAGATGGTAGTTGAGGAAATAAAGTACTGTATCATCACAATTTTTTTTATTTTTGAACAAACTAGAAGAGAAAAATTCAAAAGAGGTAATACTATCTTTTTAGCCTTTTCTCGTAGCAAGAAAAGAGCTAGATTTTGTACATTTTAGCTTTTTAAAAACTTATTTTACAAATATACCTAACAAAAAAAACTTATTTCAAGAATGGACTTTTTTTTGGCGTTGAGGTTCAATGTCTCAGCACCAATTGCTTTTAACGCCAACACCTTCATCTCCTGTGATATCTAAGTGGCTCATGTAAAGGGATTGACTAGCCTTGAGGACATATTTATAAAATATTTTTTTAAAAATGGTTAAAATATAATTTTTTATAGATAGGTTTTTGGCGTCATCTTCTTTTGATCTGAGGACCTATTTGTAAGAAAATAATATATACATTTTAACAATTTTCATAAATTTATTTTAGTAGGTCCTCAGTGCGAGCCTCTTAATTGACGTCGACCTCTCTATATCTCGGCTGCTAAAGGGATGAGGGCATTACCAATATCATTGACGACGCCAAGACGTTGGACTTTGGTGCCTGGATCGCTGACGACGAGAAAAGGGTCTTTGAATAAATAAATTTTTTAAAAGAGCCAAAATGTGAAAAATACAAAAGAAAAGAGGGAGGGAGAACTCATCAGCGGAGAAGTGATCCGATGAGTGACAGACCGGCCCAGCGGGATAAGTGGCCGAGTGACTGACAGTCCGGCCCTTGCCTGGCCTGCATCGGATCACGTGCAGGCCTAAATACCAAGGGGCCAAGTGCTACTCCTTCGTACAGCACAATTGTACACACTGCTAGGCTGAGCCTCTCTACTGCTGATCTACATCACTTCGTCGGATACGCTCATAACTTCACACATTTCAATGATAATTCCAAGTCTAAGTCCAGTTCAGCCTCCGAAGACAGCACTAACTTCAAACGGACCTAACGCCTTCATGCCAACTCTGATTTGGGTGATCTTGGACTTCGTGGAAAGCTTAACTCGCTATCTTTCAAACGCATCCGGTCTCATATCTAAATTCATCTCGAGTCAACGGGAATCGCCAAAAAAAGACAGTGTTGTTGCTGAAACCGAACTTGGGCCTTGGGCCTTGTAATAGACTAGGCCCATCTCGGAAGTGTCTCCCTCCACCTCCACGAATTAGCACTTAACCCTAGCTTTATTTTCCTCTATAAATAGCTTTGTACATCCTCAAAAATATTTGGGTTTTGTTTAATTGAATTTTACCAAGTGTCATTCACCTTGTCTCTAGTCCTCGCTTGATTAGTCAGTGACTATTGATTCAGAGCCCCCAATAGTTGATGTGTTGATTTGCCGGGTCAATTAGATCTACCACTTCAATCGCAACTATTCCTTTGTACTTAATCACCTATTCGCAATATTTAGATTGCATCTTATCTTGTTCTTGCAGTGTTCTCTCATTTGCATTGCAGGGATCATCAACCGTGCGTCACGGTTGGTACAACATCGTTTGTGGTGTAGCGATTGCACGGCGTCCTGGACTTGTTCTGGTTGGTATCCACGTCGCAAATGTTGCACTCGATCAAAGCGAGAGTTATCCCCTCACCAGAAGATCGGGCCACGAGAGAGAGCGTCATCATTTGGTATCAGAGCTGGGCCCTTGTTAAGGGGTTGGGAATGATGAGGACATCCTTCCGCGACCGTGTGAGCCTCTGAATAATCCCACCTTGCTTAGCTTGGGAGGAGGAAGCCACCTTAAAAGGGAGAGCCACCCTTCC